GCAGCGCCAAACGCGCCATTGGAATCGCACGGATGGTGCACGACGCCTACGCGTTGTGTTGCTACTGTGTCATTGTTATCCTGCTGCGTTGCTAAATGGCCGGGTTATACACCACAGCGCCCAGAACGCCATTGGAATCGCGCGAACCAGCGCGGGCTATCTTGCAGGCGCACGCTGTGCACAGAAAGGCGCACATTATGCGTTGTGCTGGGATTTGCGCCCGTCAATGAAAACCGCTGCAACCGCGAAACTTATCCCGAAGGGGAAGAGTGGTGGTGGAAGAGTAAGTCCCCTTGCCCGCCTGAGCCCCCGCCCCTCCCCCCCCCGCCACCCCTCCTCCTCATTCTTCTCATCATTCCCCTCCTCTCCTCCTCATCCTACACCCTTTTTTTTTGGGGGGGGGCATCAAGTGCGCGATCCCCCTGCGCCCGCGCTCGCGCGGCGCATCGCCTGTCCGCTGCGCGAGGCGCACCCTGGCGATGCGTTGCGGGCGCGCGGGGGAATCGCTAGCTGCCGCAGGATTCGTGAACAAGCGTTCGGCATCAACCACAACGCAGAGAACATGCTGCTCGACCCGCAGCTGGATACCGTCATCATGCCAGTGGACCAGCATTGTCACGACTGGATGCACGCATTCTTCATTCGCGGCGTGTTCAACATCACCACGTTCCTTTTTTCCTTGTTGCCTGCAAGAGCGATGGGGTGTCGGACATATACGCAAAGTTGCACGAATACGTCGGGCTATGGCCATTGCCCCGCGGGGGCATTAGCGGGCGCAACTTGGCGAACGTATTTCTCAAGAGCCGCGAGACGGCCCACACGAAGGCTAAATCGTTCAAGTGCCAAGCGAGTGAGGCATTGTCATTGCTTCCCATCCTGTGCGTGTATGTTATGAGAATCAGTTTCCCCACGGGTGTTGCTCGAGTGGCGCGCGTGGCCTTCGTTCGCATGTGCGACCTGATATGGCGCATAATTGCAGGGGTGTCCGGCCACGCATCGCCCGCCACTCTCAGGGAGAGGACCAATGATTTCCTTGGCGCCTGTGAAGCTGCAGAGTGGCAGGACTACATGACCCCAAAGTACCATTGGCTGATCCATTTTCCCAAGCACCCACAGAATGTTCAAACGCTTCTTTCGTGTTTCGTGCACGAGAGAAAACACAAGATGGCCAAGCGTTTTCTCAATGACGTCCTGCAGTTGGAAGCTACCGAGAAGAGCGTGTTGTCTGAGGTTACCTGCCTTCACTTGGCAAACTTACACAGCACCGACGCTTTGGATTTCACGCCGCGCCTGATGAAGCCCGCAAGGGCGGCACCAAAGGAAATGCACATATTCTTGGAGGAGAGGCTCGGCGCCACACTCGATCAGGAGTCCGTCACCACGGCCATGGCGGCTCGCTGTTGTTCCTTGACTGTCTGCCACTCTCGGGGCATAGTTTTGTTCGCAGCGCCAGGTGGCAACAAGGCTGTTGGCGAGATTTAGTTTCATGCTTCCGTCAATGGAACTCTGGTGTCTTTGGTTTCTGTCTGGACTGTTACTTGTTACGATGGTACCATGGGGGTGTTGTCTCTAGTGGAGACCGACGATGACGTGCAGTTGCTTCACACGACCGACATCATCACAGCGATGGTGCAGGGCTTTTGCAAACCACCGAATTCACAGAGCGCGTGCCCCATGTACGAGAATGGTTGAATGCACGCGTGCTCTCGCGGCCCACACCACACAGGGCCACCTTAAAAACAGCCGTGCGCACTTGCGCAGTACATGGGGCGCGCGTCGTTGTGAGTAAGGAGGATTGCGAGCCGCCCGACGGCTTGCAGACGCAGTGGAGGTGGCTCGATCGCCTTTGTGCCTCCGATGTTCAGGTGGTAGGCGGCCGTGTTTGACACGCGTTTTTTGCGCCCGACCGCATCGACCTTATGAAAAAAATGCAGTGATGCACTATATTGGGCTTGCGTTTCGCATTGTGTAGAATACGAACACCCCAACAGAAAAATGCTTTGCGTCTAGCAACACGCCTGCTACTTGCAAGTACTTGCAACTACTTAGCTGGATTTACAATTTGGCCCAACTCAATTTCCAAGTCCCTTAACTCTTATAACCCCCCACGTTCTCTCCAGCAGGAGCTCGGCAGCTCTGGCCCGACCTCGCCGGCACTTTGCCAGGGTATACGTCTCGTCCGCGGGCCCCGAGGGGCCGCCGCGCGCGCGCGAGCCGGAAGCAGTCACAAATGCTCACTGGAGGTTTTGGAGCGCCTGCTCCTCCTCCGCCTCCTCCTCCTCCTCCGTCTCCTCCTCCTCCTCCGGCCCGCTGGGCCGGCGAATGGTAAATAAAAGGGTTCGCCAGAAGGTTCCAAAGGAGGTTTTGGGGGAGTGGGTTTTCCAGGAGGGGTCCCCCAGGGGCTTCGCACTCCCCGTTTTGACGAGATTCCGGAGCCCCTGGGGGGCCTCTCTGGAAAACCCCCTCCCCAAAACCCCCCTTCGGAACCCTCTGGATTCGGGTGTGTCCCGGTGCCTGGTTGGTGGCCGGCCATGGGCGCCTCGTCGGGCGCCTCCGTGCGCAGGGAGGTTTCGCCAGGGTTTCGCCTGGCGCTCGGCTGGTGGTGCCTCTTGGGCGCCCCGTGCGCTGGGTGGGTCCGCGGGGGCTTCGCCTTGCACCCGGTGACCGGGTTGGTGCCCAGTCGCGGGCGCCTCGTGGGCGCCCCACGCATTGTGTGTGTGTGTTGGGGTTTAGCCTCGTGCCCAGTTGGTGCCCGATCATGGGCGCTTCTGAGCGCCACTTGCGCTGGGTTGGTGTGCCGCGGTTGCGCCTTGTGCCCGACCGTAGGCCGCATAGTTTTTCACCACGTAGATTGGGCCGTGTCGCTTGCGTCGGACTTTTGCAGCACATAGCTTATACCACAAAGTTGCTTCACTTTGGTTTCGCTACACATCCCACATTACATCGCCTACTCCACAGAGCTTCCACCACATAGTTTACATCTTTGCAACACTTACCTTGCACTGCACAGCTTCCACCACATAACTTACACCTGATGGGCTTCACCGCATAGCGTGCACCACCTAGCTTACACTACATACATTACACGGCATAGCTTACATCGAACAGTTTCACATCATTTACACTGCACCACATACAGTGCACCACATACCTGACACATCCACAGTACAGTAACACGTTCGTTGATATCAACGCTGGCAAAAATGGTAGCACTTGTGTGACAAAAAACATTGCAGCTGAACACGTGTGCGCAATTGAAGCTTGGAGGACGGACATCCCTCCTCCACCCTTCTTCTCCTACTTCTCCCCCCTCCTCACCGCATCCCTCCCTCCATTTCTACCGCTCAGAACACCTGACCGGACAAAACGTGATACTCTGTGGTGGTTGTATTCGTTCAGGCCTTGGGTCAGCCATTCGGGGCGATAGCCAATGATACACCGTACGTATCCCCTGTGATCCAGCGGCACGCTTCCGAGGCAGTCTTGGGGGCTTCACACCTGCCTGGTCGTGATGCGGTGTTGCCGTGGCGTCCGCTCCGGCTCCCCCGTGAAATTCCCAAGGTGGCGGTAGGAGCAAGAAAATTGTACACAGGTTTCCGTGCATCATACGTGCCGACACGTGTCAGAAGTTTCTGTCGCAGCACAATGCCCATCATAATCATTCATCCGCAATGTCTTTCTCAGTGCCACTCCCAACCGCCAGTCATTCAACACGGCTGCAGCAGTGCAATCAGTAGTTCCCTACCTAGGCTCTGCCTAGAGGGTTCTTACTCTCTTAGCTTAAAGGGGCCGGGCAGTACACCACGCCCCAGGCGGTTCCCCCAGTCCCCGCCCCGCGGTTCCCCCAGTCCCCTGGGAGCTTTAGCTATAGCTTTAGCTTTAGCTTAGCTTTAGCTTAGCTTTAGCTTAGCTTTAGCTTAGCTTTAGCTTAGCTTTAGCTTATATTTAGCTTAGCGTTAGCTTAGCTTTAGCTTAGCTTTAGCTAACCTTCAGCTTAGCTTCAGCCAGCTTAGCTTCAGCTTAGCTTTAGCTTTAGCTCAGCTTTAGCTTAGCTTTAGCTTAGCTGTAGCTTAGCTTGAGCTTAGCTTTAGCTTAGCTTTAGCTTAGCTTTAGCTTAGCTTTAGCTTAGCTTTAGCTTAGTTTTAGGTTAGCCTTAGTTTAAATTTAGCATAGCTTTAGCTTAGCTGTAGCTTAGCTTTAGCTTAGTTTTAGCTTAGCTTCAGCTTAGCTCCAGTTTAGCTTTAGCTTAGCTTTAGCTAACCTTCAGCTTAGCTTCAGCCAGCTTAGCTTCAGCTTAGCTTTAGCTTTAGCTCAGCTTTAGCTTAGCTTTAGCTTAGCTGTAGCTTAGCTTGAGCTTAGCTTTAGCTTAGTTTTAGCTTAGCTTTAGCTTAGCTTTAGCTTAGCTTTAGCTTAGCTTCAGCTCAGCTTTAGCTTAACTTCAGCTTAGCTTTAGCTTAGCTTCAGCTTAGCTTCAGCTTAGCTTTAGCTTAGCTTTATCTTTGCTTGATTTTAGCTTTAGCTCAGCTTTAGCTTAGATTCAGCTTAGTTTCAGCTTAGCTTTAGCTTAGCTTTAGCTTAGTTTCAGCTTTAGCTTAGTTTCAGCTTAGCTTTAGCTTAGCTTAGCTTAGCTTTACATTAGCTTTAGTTTAGCATCATCTTAGCTTTAGCTTAGCTTCAGCTTATATTTAGATTAGCTTTAGCGTAGCTTTAGCTTAACTTTAGCTCAGCTTCAGCTCTTCTTTAGCTTAGCTTCAGCTTAGCTTCAGCTTAGCTTTAGCTTAGCTTTAGCTTAGCTTCAGCTTAGCTTTAGCTTAGTTAAAGCTTAGCTTTAGCTTAGCTTTAGCGTAGCTTTAGCTTAGCTTTAGCTTAGTTTAGCCACTGTTACTACTAATGCTGCTTTCCTAGGGGCTCCAACTCCTAGGTAGGGTCGCACTGGGATAATTTGACATTTTTGGAGAGTGGATGTTGCTTGAATCGTTTTGGGTTGCTATTTGTTTGAGACGCCCACGTGAGGCTGCCAGTTGAGGAGGACGTCTACATCCGATCATGCTTGCAGCAGTTGGGCGTCCCTCAGAAGGATGTGTTCGACATCCTCGACGAGCTGGACTGTCGCCGCGACGGAGTCGTGCAGCCAGTTCCTCAGTGGTGGTTGGTACCGTGCAGGACAGATTCCATCCGAATTGCCAGAGTGAGTTTTGAATTACAAATATGCTCTCTGTTTGCAGAAGTGGTGTCGTTGAGTAACTCTTGGTAGTCCGTTCCGGGAGGGGTCGTCGTTCTGCGTATATTTCAGGTCTAGGATGTCCAGAGAGAGTTGATTGAATCCGTGGGATCGTGGATGTAGGAGGAGACAGAGGAGAAGAGGGGAGGGAGCAGGATTGAGGGAGGTGATGAATGAGAAGGAGAATGAAGAGGAGGAGGAGGAGGAGGAGGAGGAAGAGACATCCACTAATGCTGGGAGGTGTTACTTTACTATGGTGGGGCTAGGGAGGCGCTCCTGCACAGGCTAGCCTACACAGCGCCAGTATGCAGCAATGCAAGTCCCACAACGCCCTAGGCCTCAGTCGCTACTCATACACTGTAGTGCTGGATGTGGTGAGAGATAGGTGGTGTGGGGGAGGGGGTGGATGATGAGAGGGGCACAGTACTGCCATACCTTGAGTATGGTGTTTAGCTACCGCGTTCTTTTTCCTACCACAAGGAATTGAGCCGGCAAGCTTTGCAGGCAGCAGTTTGCATGTGTATTTCGTCCTCTCATTTGTGCGGCTTCTTCCTTAGTCGGCTTCATTCGATCGATCATCGATTCCCCCGATTCGGCCTACTTCACTGCCTCGCGCATTGCATGGCGAGCGTGTACTCAGTGCCCGTTTCGGGCTTACTTGTTTTCACTAGCCTCAGGCGCTTATCTGTTTGTCCAGCTGCGCTCGCTTTGCGTCGTTATCTGTGCAGTGCGCCTAACTTTGTGTCGGTGGCGTAGTATTGCCACCGATCGCTACAAGCATGACACCTGGAGTACGCCCAACTGCAAACCAACATGCACGAATGGATGGAAGAGACGGAAGAGATGGGAGGATATGAGCAAGAGAGAGAGAGAGAGAGCAAACAAAACGAGAACAGGAGGCGGGGGGGGGGGCCGAACACGAATAGGAGGGAGAAGGGGGAGGAGCTCCGGCGGGGCGGGGGGAGAGTAAGGAGGGAAGCGATCGGGGGAGAAGTGAGGAGGGATGCTGCAGGACGGTGGCGGGACATGCGAGAGAGGAAAAGTGGAGAAAGGGCAGGGAAGAGGGAGGCGGAGAAAGATAATCCTGAGGAAAGGGGAGGAGGGGATGAGTAGAGGATGGAGGAGCGAGAGTCGCGTCAAGAGCGACGAGAGGGAGGAGATGAGGGGAGGAGGAGATAGGAGGACAGAGGGAGGGGAGGAGAGTAGAGCAAGGGTGGAGGAGAAGGATGGAGGCGAATGACGGAGGAGGAGGAGGAGGAGGAGGAGAGAGGCGTAGAGAAGGAAGGAGGTAGGAGTGTGGAGGGGTGTGGAGAAGAGAGGGGGGAGCAGAGAGGAAGGACGTGGTGGTAGCGGTGGTGGTGGGAGGTGGTTTGAACGTGAAGTTGTGCCCAGAGAATAGATGAGGATGATGATGATGATGATGATGATGATGATGATGATGATGATGATGATGATGATGATGATGATGATGATGATGATACGTTGAAGGGAGGACGGCCATGTTCTCTTCGTCCTCTTCCCTCCTCCTCCTACCTCCTTTCTCCCCTGTCTCCACTCCTTCCTCCTTTCCCTCATCCCCCTCGTCGTTATCATATACGTCTTTCTTCTTCTTCCCCTCCTTCTCCTTCCACTCCGCCCTACTCCTCCTGCCCCTACTCTTCATTCCCCCTTCTTTCCCCTCCCCCCCCTTGCGAAGACGACGGAGGTAGCGACGGCGGCGATGCGACAAACGGCGTCGAGGAGGACGACGACGAGGACGACGGCGACTACGACGAGGACGACAGCGGCGGCAGCGGCTTAGAGGAGGAGGCCGACGGCGGCGACGGCGACAACGACGACGACGACGCTGGCGACGAGCGCCCAGGTCGCCAGACTGGCACGACTGCGCGTCGGGCCACGCGGCGTTCCACCCCTTCAAGACAGCGCAGGACACCCCCCTCGTCGATCGTCGATCGTCGCCGTCGATGGAGGTCTGTGGTAAAAAAAAAAACCAAAAAATACAACTGGGACAAAAAAACACACTGTAGGAAAAAACACACAATGCAGTTGCGCTAGGTGGGGTCCCTCGTCGCCACGGGCGGGTTCCTCTCGAAGTCCTGGTCAGAACGCGCCCGAGGCGAGGCCCGTCGGCTGTCGTCTTCGTCGCCTGTCGTCGTCGTCGCCGATGTTTGCCAGGAGGGGAAAACCCACACAGACACAATTAATCGTCGACTCCCAGGAAAATATGGGAGCATATGGGGATTGGGGGGGAGACAACAACCCAGAACAGTTTAGAAAATGTGGGGACTCTTTTTATGTGTGTGTATTTATTTGTGTGTCCCAGGGTCCCTTCAATTTGACCCTTGCCGCGTTTTCTCGCCATTGGTCGTGTTTGATCGTCGGCGATCGTCGTTCGGTGTCGATCGTCGTCGCGATCGCCGTAGTCGTCGTAGTGCGTCTTCGATCGTCGCCGATCGTCGTTCGTCGCTGGTCGTCGATCGCCCCAGTCTCGGATTGCCGATGTATCGTCGATGGTCTTAGCGATCGCCCTCGTCGTTGTCGTCGATCGCTTGTATCGTGTTTCGCCTACCGTCGACGATCGTCGCCGTCGATCGTCGCTACTCGTCGATCGATATTCGCGGAAGTCCCTGTGGAGGTCACGGAGGACGTCAGGGGCATAACATTAACATGGGTAACATATTCATTGTTACCCAGCGTGAACCCCGAGCAGTGTGTGTCTAGCAAGTCGTGTTGTGCAATGTATGTGAAGCTATCTACGTTGTGCATTTTATGTTGTGCAAAAGAAATTGTGTCATCTATGGTGTGCAGAATGTGTTGTGTAGGTTGGCGCGATCTCGTCGGTGCGATTTATGGGGAGCAGTCTACGTGGTGCAAGATATGTGTGATGCACTTCACTTTGACTGTCTTGAAGCTGTCCTCCCCACTGCTCGTGCAAACATCCCACCCTCCCATCCGCAACTTGATCGCAAAACCTCTTAAGACCGTGACGGTACGTACCAACTGGCACTTGGCAACAACGCCGACGACGACAGCGGCGACGACGACGACGCTGACGACGACTACGACGACACCGACGACGACTTCGACGACGACGACAACGACGACGACGACGACGACGACGGCACCGACTACGACGACGACGACGACGACGTCGACGACGCCGACGACGACGACGACGACGACGACAACGACGACACCGACGACGACGAAGACGACGACGACGACGTTGACGACGTCGTCACCGAAGACGACGACGACGAGGGAGGAGGGAGGACGACGGCGACAACGACGACGACGACGACGAGGGAGGAGGGACGACGACGCCGACGAGGACGCCGACGACGACGACGAAGACGACGACGACGACATCGTCGCCAACGAAGACGACGACGACGAGGCAGGAGGGAGGACGACGACGGCGACGACGCCGACGACGACGAGGGAGGAGGGACGGCGACGACGACGCCGACGATGACGACGACGGCGACGCCGACGACGCCGACGAAGACGACGACAACGACGACGACGACGTCGCCAACGAAGACGACGACGAAGACGAGGGAGGAGGGAGGACGACGACGGCGACAACAACGACAACGGCGAGGGAGGAGGGAGGACGGCGACGCCGACGACGACAGCGACGAGGTAGGAGGGAAGACGACGACGACGTCGACGACGACCGCGACGAAATAGGAGGGACGACGACGAGACGCCGACGACAGACGACAACGACGACGAGGAAGGAGGAAGGACGAATACGGCGACAATGACGGCGGAAACGACGACGCCAAAGAGGACGACGACGACGACGAGGAAAGACAGAGGACGACGACGACGACGACGAGCGAGAAGGGAGGACGGCGACGACGATGACGACGACGACGCAAGAGCGCGCGCGCACGCTCTGTTGAACATCTGTGTTGCGAAACCCGGTGTTTTTTTCAATGTTTTTTGGACGCCCGATTTTGTAATCCTTCTGAAACCGATTGTTTTTGAAAATCCTTGTTGCGCGCGCGTAAGCGCGCGTAAGCTTTGTTAGGAAATCCGCGATGCGAAACCATGTGTTTTTGTATGTTGTTGGGGGACTCGATTTTGACATCCTTCCGAAACCGACGGTTTCTGAAGGATTTCGGCATGCGCGCGCAACGACGCGCGCGCTCCATTCTGCATGTTTTTGCAGAGGATTCTCGCGACGGCACGCGTGCAAGGGCGTCCGAAGGATTTTCACATGCGCGCGCGAAGCCCGTTGAAACCTATGGTTTCTTAAGATTTCGCAACAGCGCGCGCTTCAGACACTCAGTATTGCAAAACCATCTGTTTTTGAATTTTTGGGGGGAACTCGATTTTGAAATCCTTCCGAAACCGACGGTTTCTGAAGGATTCCAGCACGTGCGCGCGACAGCGCGCGCGTGTGCAATTCGTCTCATCCCTTTGCAAGGGGCTCTTGGAAATTTATGATTTTGATGAAAACATGTGCGCACATAGCTTTTTTTGCAGTGGATGGCGGGGGGGGGGCGAAGTTTAAATTCAGAGTTAGGATGAACGATGGGGCATGACGACATATAAATTGCAATCGAAACAAGGGGAATCGATAAGTCCGGGGGGGAGGGTGGTAGAACCTGTTTCTTTCTCTAGAAAGGAGAGTCTATAGTGGTGTGCAAGATGCGAGGTGTAATATACGTGATGCAATCTATGTGGTGCAACAAATATACGCATGTGTTGTGCAATCGACTTGGAGGTATATAGGCATATACGTTTTTCTATGAGATGCAAGATCTGTGGTGCAATACGTGTTGTGCAGTCTACGTTGTGCAATTTGTGTGGGGCAATATATGTGGTGCGGCATATGTTGTGCAATCTTGTGGAGCAGTATATTCGGTGCAATCGATGAGATCGGCGGCGGGAGGGCTGCGACGGCGACAACATAGCCGCCAGACCCATGGGCAGGTCCAGACGACGGGCAGCGACGAGGCGGCGACGGGGCGGCGACGGCGACAGCATAGCAGCCAGACCGACGGACAGGCCTAGACGACGGGCGGAGACGAGGCGAGAACGGGCGGCGACGGCGACAGCATAGCCACCAGACCGACGGCGAGGCCCAGACGACGGCCAGCGACGAGGCGACGACGCGGCGGCGACGACGACAGCATCCGCCAGAGTGGTCAGGCCCAGACGACGGGCAGCGACGAGGCGGCGACGGGGCGGCGACGACGACAGGGTAGCCGCCGGGCCGACGGACAGGCCCGGACGCCGGGCGGCGACGGGACGGCCACGGGGCGTCGACGGCGACGGCAGCCCGCAGACCGACGGTCAGGGTCGGTTTCCTTGGGCTGCGAAGCAGGAGCCCCCAAGTATACTCCAGATTTCGTAATAAAGGGAGGGGGGTCTCATTTCGGGGGGGTCTCTTCCAGGCTGGAGGGCCTGGGGGGGTCTGGGGACGATGTTTTGGAGGGTTCTCCCACGGGGGGGGGGTCTGAAATGGCTCGTCTTGGGGGGTCCAGACCCCCTCCCTTTTATTACAAAATCTGGAGTAAGCACTGTTTGGGGGAAAGGCCTGAGGTCCTTCTCTTCCCCCATCCCTTTTTACCCCCCCCCCTCGAATCTCGAACCCGCTTCTCCTCACCTCTTCATCCTCATCTCCCTCCCCTTGGCGCTCCCTCCCCCTGATCATCCTCATCATCCCTCTTCATCCTCGTCGCCCCCCCTCCTCATTCCCCTCGTCCTCTTCGCTCCCCTCATCACCCTCCTCACTTAGTATGAGTTATCCTCCTCATCACGCCCCTCCTCCTCCTCCTCCTCCTCCTCCTCGTCTTCCTCCTCCTCCTCCTCCTCCTCCTCCTCCCTCCCCGATCTCCTGGGCCAGTCGTCCGCCGATTGGAGTTTGGAGCGCGATCCTGGCCCGAGCCCCCCGCTTTTCCTCGCCCCCCATGGGGCCGCAGGAGTACGGGGAGTGCCTCGACCGCGCCCAGAGCTAGCGCCCCAGCGGCCGCGCCCAGCGGTCGCGGGGGCTGGGCGCGGCCTTCGCTGGCTCCACAGCCGCGAAGGCCCGGGGCGCGGCGGCGGTGGCTGGCGGCGACGACGGCAGCGGCAACGGCGACGAGTGCGACGGCGCGGACCCGATCCTCAGAGGAGGGCGAGCTGATGCAGGGGCAGTTGGCCTACGGGGGGCTCCTCGTCACCACGCCTGGACTCGGCTCGAAAAGCTGGGTGCGTTTGGACACCGGGAGGGGTCTGTGGACCGATTTGGAGCTGGCGGCGTGGGAGGCTGCTCTGAGAGCATGGCACGACGGACCGGTCGTGCGTCCATGCTCTCTGCTTGCGCACCGTCAGGTGCTAGCTTCCCCACCATTATCATCCCCCTCCTGGCTCCTTCTCCCCCTCCTCCTCCTCCTCCTCCTCCTTCCTCGCGTCGGGCGCACGCATGCGCGACGTGTTCTGCTATTGTAGAGAGAGAGAGAGAGAGAGAGAAAGAGAAGTGAGGACGTTGATGCATGTGTGTGCCTCGCTTGGGATAGCATGCGAACCGAAGAAGACATGATGGTTCGCGGCATGGGAAGGCATGTGGGCCTGCTGGTTGGAGCAGAGCGTTGGAACCCAGTGGCCACGCGGCCAGATGGGCGACTCCCTCCGCTGAGCATCGCCGCGATCATTTTTGTTATGTCGGTTGTAAGACAACCTATACTAGTTAAAACAAATCGGTGGGGCAAATCGGGGCGCGGAGCTGAGTCGAAGTAAGTAGCGTTCGACCCCCGAAGCGCAGTGCTTTCTAGCGTTGGCAGGGACGGCGGGCTGACCACGGAATGTCCCCTGGAGCGGCTTTCTTCTCAGAGGCTCCCTGAGGGGGCCGAACGGTGCCACACCAGCTCGTCAGGACATCCATCATCAAGACGAAAGTCCTGCGATGATGCGCGACCCAATGCACAAGCTGAGGGCCAACCCTCCATGGTCCAATCGATTGGTTTGGGGCGCACAAGTCGCCAGCGTGCGTTGATACCTCCTTGTTTGGGGCAGAGGCCAAAGGGTCGCGCGCTTGGTGGGGAAAGCCAGCGCTTGTAGTTCAGGCGAAGTGCTGATCGAACCACGAAACGCAGTGTTTTTTTTCGCTGCGGCACCGAAAAGGAGATGTCCACGAAATCGCTCTCATAATGGTTTCCCGTCAAGCGGGCTCTTAAGGGAGCCAAGCGATCTTATACAATCCTTGGGATCGGTGCTGAATGAAGAGCCCATGGTGTATACAATCGGCAGCCCAGTGTGTCATGAGATCGGTGTGCCAGACCAGCGCATCGTTGCACCCATCATCATGACGATGGTCCTGCAATTCTACACGAGTGAATCCACACGCGGAAGGCCAGCCTGCCATGACACAGGCGTGCCACACCAGTGTGTGTCATGACATTCATCACGATGATGATGGGGGTGGCAATGGTGGCCCTGCGACGAAGCATGACTGGACTCACGTGCGGTGGGCCAGCGTTCCATGTGCACCATCGCTCTGCCACACCGGCGGGTCAGGCCGTTGATCATCAAGGCGATGTCTTGTTCCGACGACACGCGCAGCACATGCAATGGAAACGTCGGAGGCGCGTAAAGCGGCAGCGTCCGTTGACACCCTTGGCCTTGGACAGAGGCCAAGCGGGTCGCGCACGCGTGTGCCCGGATCCCTCCTCCTCCTTCTCTTCCACCTCCTCCTCCTCTTCCTCTTCCCTTCTCCTTCAAGTCACTTTAGTGTGACTGGCGGCCCTTCTATTCAATGTTTCACTTTGCTCACGCACCGACCGGTGCAAGGCTTACTCGATTTACGTCGTCGTCTCAACTCGCCATGCTCCAAGACCCACCTGCCGCCCCCTTGGGCTTAGACTTCCTGGCGACCTCGGCTGCTCGACGTGCTTCCAGATTTCCGCCCATGCCCACCCAGGCCGCCTTCTGGTCAGGGGCAACGATCAGTGGGAGTAGGCCTAGGGTCAGGAGGGAAAAAAAACACAGGCACAATGAATCGTCGATTCCCCAGAAAATATAGGAAAATCTGGAAAGTGGGGGGGAAGACGAAAACCACCAAACTATAGGAAAGTATGGAGAAAATGTTTTATTTGTGTGTACTTATTTGTGTGTCCTGGGGCCCCTTCATAGGGGGGGACGCGCTGACCCCCCATCGCCCATTGATCCCCACTAGGGGCCCGACAGCTCCGGCCTGCCGAGGAAAGAGCGGCTTCACGATCGGGGGCCCAATCGGCGATGCGTCGCCGATTCCAAGTCGATGCGCCCCCCTCCATGCTTATGATGTTCTAACCTACTTTAGCCTTGATCACCAGAAAGAATTTCGAGCTCCAAGAAAGGACAGATACTTGAGGGCTTTCGCGTGTCGGGCCCTGGGAGACGACATTCGTTCGACACTGTTTTGACACTTTTCCGGGTGCTCGAAATTGTTTATGGGATGCGACCTTTAAGTACGATGGGAGCAACACAATTCTATGCCAGTCCCCCCCCATCGTTGCCCCTCAGGTGGATCCTGGCCAGGTCTGTCTGGCACGTTGGTGCTCGGAGACGGCAGAGGCGACGACGGCGGCGAAGGTGGCGGCGATGGGGACCACGGCGACGACGACGGCGGCAACGAAAAAGTCGCTCGTCCTACAAGACTCGCCGAACATAAATTAACGGTTTTTGTTTTCGGTGCTTGCGTGGTGGGCGCTACTTCACTGCTTGCATGAGGTATTCGGCCCAGACGCCGGGGTGTCCGAAATCCGGCAGTAGCCTCACAGCATTGAAGAAAGCGTTTTTCTGACAAGTGGCCGAACAATCGAGCGTTTCGATTCTGAACAGCATTTCAATTTACGTTTGACGAGGCTTGTAGGGGAACAAACAATGACATAAACATTCAAACTCCGCGCGCCAGGGAGGGGGGTCCAGCGCAGATCCGAGAAGTCCCTGCGGACCTCCCAATTGTCATGTTTTTGTCAGTCTTTGTTCCCCTATGTCCTCTTGTGTTGTCCTCTTCCTTATTTTTGTTTCTTGTCCTCTTCTGCCCTCGGGCTGTTTTTTGTCCTCTTCTGCCCTCAGGCTTCGGGGGCGGACAGACCTCCTACCCTGACACGTCGATTAGCGAATTGGCCGTTTTCGGTTCGCGAGAGGGCGTCGCGGCCGTCATTTTTGCAGGTCCAGGTCCGTCGCATTCGGTCCCGGGCCGTTTGTTTTCACTAAGGGGAGGTCTATTCAAGGGAGGTTTGTCCACCGCCGAATGTCCTCAGGCTGTTTTTGTTGTCCTCTTCTGCCCTCAAGCTGCCTTTTGTCCTCTTCCGCCCTCAGGCTGTCTTTTTGTTGTCGGTGTCTGTCCCCCTACAGCCAAAACCCGCATAGCAAGGATGGGCGACCTTCCCAAGGTGCCCGGCCCATCCCTGGCCGCCTTCGTTGGTCCCATCCCTGGCCGCCTTCGTTGGTCCATCCCTGGCCTTCGTTGGGGCATCCTTGCCTTCTCGGCCCATCCCTGGCCGCCTTCGTTGGTCGCGCCCCGCTCGAGCACTTCGGAAGGGGCCTCCTTTGCTCTCCGGGTCGAGCCGAGTGCAGGACGGCGTGGCCCCAGAGGGGCCGCACGCGGCCCCCAAGCTGCCGCCGCGGGCCCGCCGAAGGTGCGCGGGAGAGGCGCACGGTTCTCCACCCCCGGTTTCTTGCCCCCCTCCTCCTCCCTCTCCTCCTCCTCCTCCTCCTCCTCCTCCTCCTCCTCCTCCTCCTCCTCCTCCTCCTCCTCCTCCTCCTCCTCCTCCTGCTCCTCCTCCTCCCCCTCCTCCTCCTCCTCCTCCTCCTCCTCCTCTTCCTCCCCCGTCAACGGCACCGTAGCGGGTACTCACCAACGGGTGCGTTGAAAGTTTGCCGAGAGCTGCCACTTTGGGGGCCCTGTTCTTGCGCTGCAGCTCTGCCCACAGCGGGAAGGGCTGGGTTCGCGTTGGAGGGGTCCCCGTTAGTGGAGTCCGCGTTTGAGGGGTCCTCGTCAGTGGAGTCCTTTGGTCACTGGCCAAAGTACCCGTTAGTGGAGTCCCCGTTTGAGGGGCGCTGACCCCGAGCTCCCCGCGTGGTCGTCTCCTCGTCTGCCCGCAGGCCGTCTCGCCGGAGCTGCGCCGGGCGGGGCCTGGGGGGGGCAGGGGCCGAGGCCCGCGGTCGGGGCCCGGCCGCGGGTCGGTCGCGAGGTCGGGAGGCAGCGTCGCGCGCCCCAGAAAAGTCGACGGCGGCATTCGCGGCGATATAACTTGTTATCTCTTTCTCTCTCTCTCTCTCTTTCTCTTGCTCTTGCTCTCTCTCTCTCTCTCTCTCTCTCTCTCTCTCTATGTATATAGATATATACTACTGGGGCAACCAACGCTACTATTACGTAGCACAACTGCAAGGGCATCTCTTCGGTTACGACATCCATGACGATGTAAGTTGCTCTCTCTTTCTCTTTCTCTCTCTCTCTCTTTCGTTGTCTTTCTCTCTTTTGTTATGTCTCCTTCTCTCTATATCCGTGTTTCCTTCTCACTCTGTTGATCGATACACACATGTAACCTCTTCCGGCCATTAAGAGCCACCACCCCCTTCCGGTGAACCAATAACGCATCCAGCACCCAGAAGCGTGATCTTGAAACCTTGGCACTTGGCCGTGTCTTAGCACTCCTCTGGAGCCTCCAGCAAGCCTCGAAAATGGCGAGGAGGAGGAAGAGGAAGAGGTAACCCTGCGCAGGGGCTTTTGGACGCAAGCATTGTTTTGGAAATGTGCGCCTCGCTTTGGCATGCTGTGGATCACTTCGCGCCAATCCGCTTGTTTGGTTACGCATTTGCTTCGCACCGGGGATCATGAGGTACTGTGTCAATGTCCTCTTTTACGCTGACAGCCATCACATAGATTCGCCTGAACGCCCCGCCCAGCCCCGACGGAGTTGAGTAACTGACATCCTAACGTACGGCCTTGCGTGCACCATGCGGGGGGCGGGTACCATGCACGCAACAGTCAACCGAGCATTTAAGTCACGTTGGTGGCATTTGTGTGTTTGTTGGGGGTTGTCGGGTCCAGGTTGTTTCAAGACGACGTTGACAGGAACGTCGATCGCGCACCATCGTAGTCTGTGTGATATGATGTCGGTTCTGTTTCGTTTCTTACGCGTTCAAGTTTTGTCTGTATGTTGACGCTCGAGCTATCTTGCTCTAGACATCCCCTGTTCTTCCATGGGCAGGAATTGTTGCCCGAGGGCGTGTGTTCGGCCCCGCAAGTGAGCACAGTTCTGCTTTGAACTTCCGCACCAGGAACATGGAAAGCCCAAACATTCTGGTAGTTGAGACGCTCTTCTAGTCAAGCTTCCGTCTGGGGATCAGGCCGCACGCACGCTGAGGACAGCAGGTCCGATGGGCAACCTTTCCCTGCTCGCCAACGCTCGTCCCGAGCCGCGCTTTGGTTGTTGGCGCTCTTGGCCGGCATCGGGGGGAGTTTGTGCCGGCAAACGCACGGGAGGCGCCGAAGTTCGGGGGCCCCCAAACGGTGCGGTGACCGCACCGTGCGGTGAGTCGGTGGGGATTCGGGGTCACCGCACGGTCTTGGGACTCGGGTCGTTCTCCGAGGACGTCCCAGGCGACAGGGGTCTCCGAGGTCCCCAGACCGTGCGGTGACGGACCGTGCGGTGAGGTCTTGGGGGATTCCGAGGTCACCGCACGGTTTGTCACCGCACCGCTTGGGGACTCCCGAGGCGCCGAGGCGACGGGACCTCGACGTTTGACGTTCTCTCCTGCTGCCCGTAATTCAAGCTCTGCGCGGCCCGCTCAGCTTCGACCGGAAGAGGTGTGCTCTCGACCCGCGAATCAAATTACTCCGACGGTAGGACCCCGCATGAGAATATGTTTAGCTTACCCTTTGCCCTTTCCTCTTCCTCCTGGGGCTGCCGCCTGAGACTTCCTCACAATTCACTCACAGACGAGGCTCCCGCTCGAGACTTCCTCCATATTCAAGTCTCAAGAGCCCAAGAGTGACGACAGTTGCACGTTGCGGATGACCCGCTCGGATTCGAACATGAAGTGCGGGCCCCATAGGAGGGGGCTCCCGCCTGAGACTTCCTCGCAATTCACTCACAGACGAGGCTCCCGCTTGATACGTCCCCCATATTCGGGCCTCAAGAGCCCAAAAGAGACGCAGTTGCACGTTGCGGATGACCCGCTCGGATTCAAACATGAAGCGCGGGCCCCATAGGGAGGGGGTTCCCGCCTGAGACTTCCTCGCAATTCACTCACAGACGAGGCTCCCGCTCGAGACTTCCTCCATATTCAAGTCTCAAGAGCCCAAGAGTGACGACAGTTGCACGTTGCGGATGACCCGCTCGGATTCGAACATGAAGTGCGGGCCACATAGGGAGGGGGCTCCCGCCTGAGACTTCCTCGCAATTCACTCACAGACGGGGCTCCCGCTCGAGACTTCCTCCATCTTCAAGTCTCAAGAGCCCAAAAGTGACGACAGTTGCACGTTGCGGATGACCCGCTCGGATTCGAACACGAAGTGCGGGCCCCATAGGGAGGGTGTTCCCGCTTGAGACTTCCTTACAATTCACCCACAGACGAAGCTCCCGCTCGAGACCTCCTCCATATTCAAGTCTCAAGAGCCCCAAAGTAACGATAGTTGCACGTTGCGGATGACCCGCTCGGATTCAAACATGAAGTGCGGGCCCCATAGGGAGGGGGCTCCCGCCTGAAACATCCTCACAATTCACTCACAGACGAGGCTCCCGCTCGAGACTTCCTCCATATTCAAGTCTCAAGAGCCCAAAAGTGACGACAGTTGCACGTTGCGGATGACCCGCTCGGATTCCAACATGAAGCGCGGGCCCCATAGGGAGGGGGCTCCCGCCTGAGACTTCCTCGCAATTCACTCACAGACGAGGCTCCCGCTCGAGACTTCCTCCATATTCAGTCTCAAGAGCCCAAAAGTGACGACAGTTGCACGTTGCGATGACCCGCTCGGATTCAAACATGATCTGCGGGCCCCATAGGGAGGGGCTCCCGCCTGAGACTTCCTCACAATTCACTCACAGACGAGGCTCCCGCTCGAGACTTCCTCCATATTCAAGTCTCAAGAGCCCAAAAGTGACGACAGTTGCACGTTGCGGATGACCCGCTCGGATTCGAACATGAAGTGCGGGCCCCATAGGGAGGGGGCTCCCGCCTGAGACTTCCTCACAATTCACTCACAGACGAGGCTCCCGCTCGAGACTTCCTCCATATTCAAGTCTCAAGAGCCCAAAAGTGACGACAGTTGCACGTTGCGGATGACCCGCTCGGATTCAACATGAAGCGCGGGCCCCATAGGGAGGGGGCTCCCGCCTGAGACTTCCTCAAATTCACTCACAGACGAGGCTCCCGCTCGAGACTTCCTCCAATTCAAGTTTCAAGAGCCCAAAAGTGACGACAGTTACAGTTGGTTGCGGATGACCCGCTCGGATTCAAACATGAAGCGCGGGGCCCCATAGGGAGGGGGCTCCCGCCTGAGACTTCCTCGCAATTCACTCACAGACGAGGCTCCCGCTCGAGACTTCCTCCATATTCAATTTCAAGAGCCCAAAAGTGACGACAGTTGCACGTTGCGGATGACCCGCTCGGATTCAAACATGAAGTGCGGGCCCCATAGGGAGGGGGCTCCCGCTCGAGACCTCCTCCATATTCAGGCCTCATATTCAAGTATCATGATGATTTGATGAGATATGATGATGATGAGATGATGATGATGATGATGATGATGATGATGATGATGATGATGATGATGATGATGATGATGATGATGATGATGATGATGATCGTTCGATGCCGATGATGGTGAGTGATCGCGGGATGGTGATGGTGATGCTGATGGTGATGATGATGATGAGTGGGGAGTGATGGTGATGGTGATGATGATGCGGAGGAGGAAGCAAAGAAGAGCAGAGGAGAGGGAGGAGGAGGAGGAGAGATCCTGCGCGGAGGGTGTGCAGAGAAAACAAGAACCCCACTTAGGATGTGGGGAAAAGCTGCCCGTGGGCGCGCGCGCGCCACCCCCACGCAAGTTCCCCGCCCGCCTTTTTCGCGGGCAGCGCTGGGGGGGAGGTGGGCTCCGGGGGGGCGCGCGCCGACCCCCATGCACCGGGAGGGGCACAACAGCCCGCCCCCCCACCCACCACACACCCAGGAATCCTCCTCCTCCTCCTCGATCCTCCCTCCTCCCTCCTCCTCCCTCCTCCTGCTCCTCCCTCCTCCTGCTCCTCCTCCTCCTCCTCCTCCTCCTCCTCCTCCTTCTGCTCCCATCGGGTGTCTATCGCCGATCTATCTGCGACGTATTGTCGAGTCCAGGTCGATGTTTCCCCCTTGCCTCAGCCAGTACTCTCTCATCGTTCCCACAAAGAGGATAGGACTGACCGCAGGTATCGGTCACATGTCTGATCTTTGCTGTTCTGATGTTCGAGATGTCTGAACGGCAGCCAGCTGCCTTCGGCTGGCTTCATCTCGTACGTGTCTTCCATATACAGTGCATTATCTACATTTTTAATATACATATATACATATATATGTGTAACAATATGTGTGTGTGTATATATAACAAACGGGCGTCCCCCTCACTCCAGTACGAGGCGGAGGGGTGCGTGTCCGGGCGCGGTGGGCAGTTCGGCTTGCGTGGCAGAACGCGCGCGCGCCTGGCACGACCTGTGTTGCCGCCTGCGTGTGCTGAAACGAACTGGGGCTACCTGTCTACAGAAATCCGCAAGTACAGTTAGCTCGCTGAGCTCGCCTGGCGATGAACATCAGCAGGGCCACGTGCAATGCCACTGGCACCACATTTTGCCAGATGATCAGCTCGCTCGCTGAGGCACTCCTCAGCGTTGCCGCCTGCGTGCACGGGGGCCGAGATGGGGACGCGAGGAACGGGGACAATGACCGGCAGCAGTTCACGCCCATTTTGAAGAGGATTCGCTGTCGGTTCTCGGTGCCGCCGTGGGCGTTGTCCAGTCGGGACGACGTCGCCCGCCCAACGGCGGCCGCTGTCGGTGCGGCCGCTGTCGGTTTTGAGCTGCTCCGTCCCCATTCTGGGCGTGGCGATGCTCACCCCCCACCACTCCCGCCTTCCCGCCGACGTCGCGATGTGCCCTTCCGCCTCTCGGCACCAGCCCCCTCTGCTTCTTGGACCAGACCCCATCCCAGATCGACCTCACGCGGTCCCCTCCCTCCCTCCCTCCCTCCCTCCCTCCGGGGCCCTGAACGGGCCCCTGCAGTCGAGACGCCGAAATCAGGCCAGCTTGGGGCTCATGGTGCAGCGTTCCTTGTGGTAGCATACAGTGCAGTTT